TTTCTTGAAGATAGGCCCCATGTTGGCTTTCCAATCATTGGGCACTTCACCAGAGCGCCAGGAATTCTCGAAGATCTGTGACAGGGGCTGAGCTATGATGCTAAGCAGCTTCTTGAATACTCTGGGGTGTAAATTGTCAGGGCTGGCTGACTTGAAGGTGTCCAGCCTCTCAAGCTGTTCCTTCACAAGGTCAGCATTGATGGAGGGCAAGGAACCACCCTCACTTAGGCATCCCTGTGCAGTAATGGGCAGGGGCATCCCATGGGACTTGTGAAAGACTAACGCAAAGTACCCATTTAGAAGTTGGCTTTTTCCTGGGTGTAGGTCGTCAGTTCTCCCTTTTGGTTTAGCAGGGGTCCAGTCCTGCCCTTGCTTTTCTTCTGGCTCCTCACATATCTAAAAAAGGACTTTTTATTGTCCTTGATACTTGTAGCCAGCTGGAGTTCCGTCGCAGCCTTGGCTTTCCTGGTTTGCTCCCTGCAGGTCCAAACCAGTGCAGAGTATTCCTCCTTGGAGGTGGATCCCGTCCTCCATCCTTTGTAGGTCTGTCTTTTTAGATGCAGGAGGATTGCTAGTTACTTGGAGAGCCAGGGGGGCTGCTGTGCCCTCTTGCTGCCTTTCCTCTGAGATGGAATAGCCTTAGCTTGTGCATCTAAGATTGCTCCCTTGAGGAGCAACCACTTTTCCTGGACTCCCCTCCCTTTGAGGTCATGGTCCCTTAGGGCCTGACCGACAAGTCTCCTGAGCTTGTCAAAGTCATCCCTCCTGAAGTCAAGGACCTCTGTACTCCTGACTGACTTGACAGCTTTTCGGCGGATGGTGAAGGTGATTAGTTCATGGTTGCTGTCACCCAGCTTCCCTTCGATCATTATGTTGCTGATTAGGTCGTCCCCGGTTGCCAGTACCAGGTCAAGCAGTGCTTTGCGTCTTGTTGGCCCATAGACTTCTTGAGTCAGAGCTCATCCATGCACGTGAGAAAGCTTTGCGACTGTTTGGATTTGGCTGAGTGCTTTTCCCACGAGATTTCTGGGTAGTTGAAGTCCCCCATGACAGCCATGGACTGGGAGCGTGCAGCCTCATCCAGTTCCTTGGTGAACTCCTGGTCAATCTCTTGATTCTGGGAGGGAGATCTGTAGTAGACTCCTACCATTGTATCTCCTGTGCTGTGTTCCCCATGGATTTTAACCCAGAGGGTCTCTAATCATTCACCCTGGATGCCAGTTGTCTGCTTGTAGGGACGCATAGCTCTCCTAGACATAGAGAGCTACACCTCCACCCCTTTTTGTCCACTTGATTCCTCCTGTACAGGGTACAGCTGTCTATACCTGTGGTCCAGTCATGGGTGGAGTCCCACCAGGTCTCCATTATCCCTATGACATAGTAATTATTTGTGTTGAGCAGGAGGACAAGTTCCTCCTGTTTATTCCCCAAGCTCCTGGCATTGATGTACAGGTATGCAAGTGTCCCCTTGGGGGCCATTCCCTTGCCCACAGCTTGCTCTAGGGCTGGGGCAGGGGTAGGCTTTCTTAAGTGCCTTGGCCTGCTGGCTTTGCAAGGGTTGCTCAGCGGGCCAGCAGTGGCGGTAGTCCCCCTGTCCCCTGGTGGGCTTAGTTTAAAGCCCGATGGAGCAGGTAAGCCAGTCTAGCTGAGCAGAGCCTCCTCCGCAGCAGAGAGGCTAACTTTCCTATTAGTTTGTGTGAAAGTGATCTTTACAATGCAAATTCAGTTATAATTGTCTGTGCTGCAGGGCTGTATACTCCATCCAGCATGCAGTGTCTCTGACTGAAGGCATGTATATAGCTTTTTAAGTATTGCACTGCTGCTGCTAAAATACGTTGCATTTGCTGCATTGAATTTGGGTTTTGTTGTGTTCTACAAATCTCGATTTCCTTAATGTGAAAAAGGTTGCCCTCTGTCAGAAATACATGTTAGAAGATTACTTGGCATGGCTTGAGTGTATTTTGTTATTTTAAGGGGATGCATAAAAAAAGTTAATGAAAAGTAGATATTTGATTTTTATTAGCACTGTTCAGCTATTTCCAGTTTAAAAAGCCACACATCACTTTGTGATCATGACTTAAGTCCTGTACTGTAACTACGTATTTTTAGCTTGTGAGCTGTGATACTGTGGTTATAGGGACCATATAATGACCTAGACATAAATATAGCTACCCATGATCTTATAAATATAGCTACACATAGCGACCAAAACACTGGCTTGCATCCACAGATGCATCTCAAGCAAATTCTGGGACGTCATTCTCCCCTTGTACTCGGCCTTTGTGAGGCCGCAGCTGGAGTACTGCATCCAGTTTTGGGCTCCACAATTCAAAAAGGATGTGGAGAAGCTTGAGAGAGTCCAGAGAAGAGCCACGTGCATGATCAGAGGTCAGGAAAACAGACCTTACGATGACAGGCTGAGAGCCATGGGGCTCTTTAGCCTGGAAAAGTGCAGGCTCAGGGGTGATCTGATGGCCACCTATAAGTTTATCAGGGGTGACCACCAGTATCTGGGGGAACGTTTGTTCACCAGAGCGCCCCAAGGGATGACGAGGTTGAACGGTCATAAACTACTACAAGACTGTTTCAGGCTG